GCAGTGCCATTGCCCCCATTTCAACAGCCAGTCTTTGAGCCCCAAGAAGACAGTCTTGCATTAGCTCTGTGTCCTTGCTTCATTGTGGCAAGATTAAAAGACCACTCCCCAAACACAGTGCTCTGTCCCAAGGTGTATTCAGGCTTTCTCCTCCCACAGCATAAAGACCTGTGGAGTTTTTCAGGGCAACATTTTCTTAATGCTCTTCAGAAAATTCTTAGGCTCAAGATCAAGGACTCTGAACTCCATATGATCCCAACAGTGCTTTCATATGGGCGATTCACCTAACATCCAGCCCTGATCATTTGTGAGTGAGATTAACATAAGCAGCTCTGAAAGGTCATGGTCTTCACCTTTTCCAGTGCTCTATGGTGGCCTCTTTCCTTTGTCTTTCCTCCCTTTCTTAGTAGTTGCCCCTGGAATGCCAAAGCCATGATATTTTGCCTATTGTATGTTTCCATTCATAGCTCCCCAATGTTCCCCAAAGGCTGACACAATCTGCGCTCAGTAACACTTACTGATTTCGCTTGCCTTCTTTGCATTGCTCACAGAACCCCAAGCAGGATTATCTCAGTGATCAAATTCATTTCCCCAAGCAAATATTTGACTTCCTTTTATCATGGCGAATGAGAGCCATAAATCCTTGCTGCTTTTCTTTTTTAGTTTGGTCTCTAGAAGCTCAGTCATTGTCTTAATCTAGGTTTCTGCTAACTGGTTTTTCTTTTTTCCTCCTGCCTTCTGGGGAGGTCTACTGGCTTCTTTGATTTTTTGCTTTCTCTATTTTTCTCTTCGGTCACATGGACTCTTTCCCAGGCATGGAGACACTTCAGAATATGATGCAGCATATTGTTTCAAGGCATTGTGCTCAAATCTTGATTCTGCTACGACTAGCAGACCAGTCACCTAACAGCTCAGTCTCATTTCCCTTCTGCCGTGAGATAATAATGGTGTCTACCTTGGATGGTGGATGATGCTTAGAGGAGCTGGCCTTACTGTTGAGAACCAGCAGCTCCCGATCCATGGTGAGTTCTGTTTGCCAGGGTAGTTATTATCTGAACAGGCCTGGACCATCCAATTCCAGGCTGGCTGCCGGGGAGGGGCTGGCTCTGTGTCAATGCTTTTCAAATGTCAGTGTGCCTGGAATCACTTGAAGATCTGATCAATTGATCAGGGTGGGGCTTCAGTCTGCAGCTCCAATGTATTTCCACATGATGTGAGCACTCCAGGTTCAAAGTTTACACTTTAGTCAACACTGACTCTGAAGTTAGGCTGGCCAGTGGCTAGGATCCATTGAGATGATTGAGAGGGGAATGGAGGAGGTAAAACTGGTGTCCCCTGCCCCCACCCAAGCCCCATCTGGCAAGCTCTAGGGAGCCTGGTCTCTGAGCTAAGTAGAGAAAAAGCACTGTAACTGTCTTACTCACCATTAGGCCACCAGTTTTCAGAAAAGCTGTTAAGTACAGAGCGAAGAAAGGGACCAGGAACCCAATAAAAGAAAGATTGAGGCAGAATGGTGGGCAAGGCTCCCTCTGCCTGGGAATAGCCCCACCCTCTCAAGGTCTCCGGTGATCTCACTTTCTGACCTATTAGCCCAAACCCTCACTTTGAACTGATGTTTACTTTGAACTGGTGGCAGACTGGGTACATCAAGGGCCATATTCCCAGAGGGATCTTGCTTGCTTTCTCTGAGTATTCTGGCCAAGGCCTGTGTGGGATGGCTGGGGAGAGTGAGCCTGCCAAACTACAGGGTGTCCTTGGGAAACCCTGTGGTCTCTCCAGGTAGAGCCCAAGGATGGGCTTCCTCAGACTTGTCTCCTCCGCATTCCATCTTGCTTCTGAAAGTTCCTTGTGTGCAGCTTATGGCCGAGCTTAGAGCCCTCCATGTAACAGACTGACATGGATGCATACATATGTGAGTACATGCGTGCATGCTGCAGATGGTACACCTCTGAGTGTATGCAGCCCATGCACATGTATAGACTAGTGTTGGGGTCTGGGTGTGTTGTGGTGCTTCGGTGTAGGATTATACCTATGAGCCCATATTTGTTGCTCCCTGCCTGGTTTCTGTGGCTACCCTGTGTTTTCCTATGACAGCAAACACCAGATCCCAGACACTGGCAGGATGAGGTGTTGAGGTGTTCCCGGTGCAGAACAGGAGAGCTATGGCTCAACAAGAGGCTCCAGCCTCACTGGTCTGAGGACAACTAAGCCTGCTGCCAGCAAGCCTGAAGTGAGGCAAACTCACTGTGGAATCTGATTGAAATGACATCAGAAGCCACGCACCTTCTTATAGACATTTGGCTCCAGGGAGCAACTAAGGGCCAGTGTAAAGTGCTTTGAGTGCCTGGGATGCACACAAGACAGTTCTTGTACGGCTCATCACAGGCCACAGAGACCCTTCACAGGACTTTTCCAGTGTGGGCAGGAATAGCTCCATTCTACAGCTAGGGAAACCATCGTTCAGGAAGGGTGAGAGCCACTGAGGGGAGGGGCCAGAGCAAAATGGAAAACTCAGCCAGGGCCAGGAGGGGGACTGAGGGAGACTGAGTCAGGCCACAGGACGTGGGGCTCTACAGACCACTTGGCTGCTTTGTGGTGATCACCATCTGATAGGACATGGGTAGAATCTGTGAAGTGCTCACCTACTGTTACTAAGGCTGCGGTGCTCCTGTTGGCGCTGAGGGAAGGAGGTGTACAGGGATCACTGCCCACTGGGAACTGAGAGGCTGAGGACAATAGGGCTTTGACCTTGAGCACCTGTGACCACCCTTCACCAAGAGGAGCCCAGACCCAGGGCCAAGTTGAGAGCACCCAGTTAATCCTCTAAGCTTTCCTCCTCTTATGTAACCACTTTTGTTCTAGGGAAGTTGAGAGCCTGTGGTGCCTGCAGACTCTGCAACCCCCTCCTGGCATCTGGGCCAATCTGGGATTGTGACAAGGATCATCAGACTGGGAAGACACAGGCTGTGGACAGGGCTTTTCAGGGCTCCCAGGAGTGGACATGTGTGTACAGCACGTGCACAGATGCAGACATGTGCAAATACCTAAGGGGACACACCTGACATCACTGCACTCAAACATGTGTACCAGAAGACATATGCATCGTCCTCCAGGACAGACCCACGTGTGGCTGGCAAGCCTGACAGACACGTGGACCCACGCTCACACCTGAGAGCGTAGCTGGGTGACCTTACTTATCTCAGGCCATCGCTGCTCCTCCCAGGCTTCCCACTTAGTCTCTTTCCATCTTCCCTCCTCATCTACTCAGGGTGACTTGTGCAAGAAGACAGTAGGGAAACAGAGATGGCTTTGACTTTTTTGAAGAACAGGTTCTGAGGACTTAGTTTCCAACATGGCTAAGGGGCTGCTCTAGGGATCCCCTTTATGACCTCAAATGTGAGCGTGTAACAAATGCTGTAATCTGGATAGCACTTACAATTTGCAATGTCATGACTTACCCATTCCTCATGATTACCCCAAGAGGCAGGCATCGCCATTTCTTCCATTTGACATACGAGGAAACTAAGGGTCAGAAAGAGACAGAAAGATGTGAGGTCACACAGCAAGTTGAGGTAGTGTTGACCAGAACCCTCCCAAGCCTGGGATGGGGGAAAGTGCTTTTGGCCAAGAAGTCACCCTGGTTCAGAGCCCAGAGGATGGGCAGGCTGGAACTATCAAGTGGGGTCCCTGTGGGGACACTTCATTCACACTCCTGCCTCACTGCCCTGCACTCTGCTGTGAGGTTCAACTTTTATGCATGTGCCGGGGGGGGGTGGGGGGGGCAAGGACACCTCTGCTTTGCTGTGTGGCCCAGGCAAGCCCCTTTCCCTCTCTGAGCCTAGCACACTTTTCTCTTTAATGAGATGCTAGGCTTAGTTAGAGGAGTGCTCCTCTCCAAGCCTGCAGAGGGCTTCCCCAGGGCACAGAGTAGAAGGCAAGCTCAGGATGCTCTCCACCAAGGCAGGGCCAGGCACAGACAAGGAGCTCAGGGCCTGGGGCAGGGTCTCCTTCAGGATGGGTGACCTTCTCCAAAGATATTTGGAGGCGAGGACCCAGCAAGTCCAGGTTGGGCCTGTCCCATGGTGTAAGGTGGCACCCCTCAGCTCTGTGCTTCTTACCTTCCCTTAAATTTCTATATAGCTCTTATCATTACCCAATCTGCTATCTATTAACTTGTTAGCTACCATAAACTTAATTTCCCTGCTCAAATGCAGGTGGCTCAAGGGTAGGGCCTTTATTTAATGGCCTTGTGTTCCTTGAACATTTCTTGAAGAAAGCAAATGCCAGTAAGTACAAGAGGGGAAGTGGAGAGTGAGAGACAGAGAGACAGAGACAGACACAGAGACAGAGAGTGTGGAGGAGAAATAATCTTAAAGATGAGAAGGGCTGGCCCAGGCCCATCATGGACCTGAGGCCGAGCCACCCTGGCTGCCTTCTGTTCATCTGGCTCAAAGATGGTCTGGAGCTGGGGAGGGAAATAGTCACTTGGGCTCAGTCTTTGTCCAGAATCACCCTCAACCTGAAGATCTATCCTCTGTCCCTGGGAGTGTATCTCCCAGGGTGTTGGAGCCGCAGGGATCAGGTCCTTAATCTCAGAGTCTCCATCTCTGTTAATGGAGAAAGCCAGGGTAATTGTTCCCTGTGTCGGGAAAGAGCAGGAGCAGGACTCTTTCCAGATTTCAGAAAGGCCAAGAGAAGGCTGGGAGGGGGGAGAAAAATGGTCATCAAATGCATGCTTACCCTTTACCACGCCCTGATCCCTAAAATTCCCTCCCTCTACCCTTCTAGCAGCCTGTGGGGCCAAACTAATGGTCCCCACACTTTGTGTGAGCACACTTAAGGCTCCCAACTGGGAAGTGGCTGAGTCAGCCCTGGTATTAAGCACTTGAGTAACAGCGTTCTCAGGATCACATCCTGGTCCTGCTGTTTGCCAGCTTTATGCTGCACCAAGTTATTTCCCCTCCTCAGATTCTCAGTTTCCTCATCTGCTGCTTCCCCAGATTTCAGCACAAGTCACCCTGAGGCACAGGATTGACAGCATAGGTCAAAAGCTGAGATTCTCCGCAGCAATCATGGACCACAAGTGGAGCACTCACTGAGCCTGGGGTGAGTTTTCCAGGTCAATGCCCAGATATGCATCCTCCTCTGGAAGCTTCCTAGTGCGTGTCACATGGTTCACCTGCAGCACTGGGGCCCCTGGCAGGCGTCGGGTCTTTCTCCACCTGTTTGTGCCTGGAGCCTGCAGGCTGCACATCATGGAAGGATAAAGGTGGACAGGAGGGAGAGGGTGAAGACAAGGGGACTGGGCTATGCCTCAGTGAGGAATAGAATAGGCAGACGGGATTTGGAGCCACATAGATCTAGATCTGAGTCTTGAATGACTCAGGACAGTCTTCCTCTGTGGGCCTCAGTTTCTTACTATGAAAAATCGGGAGCAGCAAAGGCTTTTCTGAGTATCTGGAAAATGTTAGGTGTAGTGTGCTGTAAGCCTTCCCTGAGGAGGAGGAAGCTTGGTGGAACAGGTAGGAAAGATGATTTGGCCAAACGGAAGTCTGCACAGAAGGCCTCTGGGAAGTCACTTCCTTCTGCGCTGTGTCCAGGTGTGACTTGTTAAAGGGAAGAGAATGGGGTGGGGGATGAGAATCAGGGGATATGCTGGGGAGTGGGGTTAAACATTTCCTGGAGTAATCTGGCATGGTGGTACATGCCTGTAATTTCCAGCACTCTGGGAAGCTGAGACAGGAGGATTGAAAGTTTAGCCCAGTTTGGGCTAAACTTAATGACTTACTGAGACTGTTTAAAAATAAAGTATTTTTTAGAATGGCTGAGGATGTAGCTCAGTGCAAAGGCCCTGGGCTCAATCCCCCAGTACAAAAAGTAAAAAACAAGCAAACCTTTTTTCTGGAATTTCTGTTGCCATTCAACTCTGCTGACTCCAGCACAGGACAAGCAGGCCACAGTGTGCATTCATTCACCCGGTCTCCTGACGGTACACAGGATTCACATGTCTTACCAGCTTCACATAGCTCCTCAGCCAACTCAGGGATCCTCTCTTCTCTCCTTAACAGCAAATGAGATTAAAAAAAAAAATGCAAAGGCCCTTTGCACAAAGTGCTGTGTCTTTGAGATGCATTTACATATTTGTATACGACCTTCCTGTGCAGCTTGTGAGCATGTGTGTGCAACCCTTGCTTGATTGGGGGTGAGTCTTCTCTAAAATTCTTGTCATCTTTTTTCTTTTTTTGCATTTCCTTACTATTGGCTTACCAGAAAGGGAGGGGGACCCGGTCCGGAAGCCTAGCAATTGTCTCTGAGCCTGCCCCCTTGCCTTATCCTGTGGCTTCCCTGGAGACCCTGGAGACCGGGACCAGCCTTCGGGTCAGGAGCCTCCTGGCTCCTCTGCACAGCTCACCTGCCATCTGCTTTTCCCTCAGAGGATCCGTGCTGGCTGCCTTCACATCTTTGTCCCGCTGTCTCTTCATGACATGCCACTGTTCTCTAGAGATGCTATTATTGTTCCCATTTTACAGGCAAGGAAGTGAAGGCTTGGTGAGGGGAAATGACTTTCCCGGGACATAGAGTACTCGGCTAACTAGCAGCAGTGCTGGAGTTTCAACTCCTAAATGCACCCCAGAGATGATATGCTTCACTGCTATGGTCTTCCCAGTGGTCATGAGCTGGCTGATTGACTGAATGGAAAAATAATGAAAAGGTATTAACCTAAATAAACCCCTCATTCGATATTGAGTTGAAAGAGAAGGTTAGCAATGGCTATCATTTATTATTCATTGAGCACCCATGATATGCCGTGTTTGACATAAGAGTAAATACAGGTGTGATGAGTGTTGCATTTTGCAGTGGAGAAAGCTGAGGCTCAGAGCAGAGATGAACCACCATGTCTAACCCTGGGGAGCTGGGGTTGCATTTGTCAGACTCCAGACCCCCAACTCCGGGCTGGGCTTTCCTGGTTCCCTCCAGGAGGAATGAGTTGGGTCAGCAGAGCCTGGAGACAAGTGCCTGCTCCAGTCAAGAGCCTGGAGACAGTCAAGAGAACACTCCACCCACCTCTCCTGCCCTGGGGCCATTTCTTCATTTGCCTGCAAAGTGGGTTTTTATTTCAGTTTCTGGTAGGGATTTTGTGGCTCATGCTCTGGCTCTTTTGCTCTGATACTTGAGGGTCTAGTTAGGGCCACGCCATGGCCCAGTCACACAGTCCCCTACTCCACCTCACCTGCACTTAGCAGCTCTATGGGAGGGCAGGGCCTGTGTAAGAGGCACTGTTGGTCCGAGGAGTCGGTTCAGGCTGGGTGGGTGGCCTCTGTGCTCAGTCATGTGCTAAACACCTTCAGCCCAGGAGCTATGAGATCCAGGCATCCCTTTAGGAATTCGTGGGCTGGAGACTGAGGTACAGAGCAAGAAATTTAGAGCCTGGCACCCTGACTTCCAAGGAAGCACTTGGGTCTAGGATGGAACAGAGGCTGTTCTGTGGCCCCAGCAGGCAGCTCTCTGCTCAGAGTAAGGGAAGACATTGTCTCTGTCATGACAAGAGGAATGGGAAGCAACCATTCATATCAGCCCATAGTTCTGGAGTGCCTGTGCTTTCTAGGGTAGGGAGCCTGCGACGAATGCTGGCAAGATCTTGAAATCAGAGCTGGGTGTGAATCTAGGCACCAGCATTTCTGCTGTGTGAACTCGGACAAGTTATTGAACCTCCTGGAATCTGTTTTCCCATCTATAAATGTAATAATAGAACCTACTTGGCCAGCTCATGGAGTAGATAAAATAAGATCATGCATATAATATTACTTGTCTTAATTCATTTTCCTCATACCTTAAAAAGCCTTTCAGTTGAGCCGAGAGAAATTCCCTCAGGCAGCTAATCTGATGATTCAGGCAAGACCTATAAAGTGTTAGAACCTACTCTGTGGATTCGCCAGTCCTTATTTTTGTGGTGCAAAGGCCAGGTCCCACGCCCTCACCTTTGACCTCATCACACTTCTCAGATGGACACACCTCTCTATGTAGGAAGAGGAGAGGCACAGAGAAGCTAACATTTAGCACAGAAATGCCTCTGCTGTAAAAAGTTACTAGAGTAAAGCAGATAATAGATGAAAAATGACATAGCCCCCAGCCCAGGTTTCCTGACCGACCTGGAAATCTCCCCTTCTGATCCCTGGACTTGATGGTAAGGTTCATTGTACACTTGTCTTGCCCAAGGCCCACCTTAGGGCTTTTGGTTAGTTTCTCTGTTTTGTTTTGTTGGTACCAGGAATTGAACTTACAACCTCACACTTGCAGGCAGGCACTGTGTGGCTGAGCTGTATCCCCAGCCCTCAGAACTGTCTTTTAGATTTATATAAATTAATATCATAGTTCAATTTAGTAAGTGGGGAAACTGAGGCTCGGAGTGTTAAATAACTTGCTCAAGGTCACATAACTAGTAGAAACAGCAGGAAGATTAAGTATGTGTTTCTCCCTGAAACACATACTCTCCCATTTCAAGGAGTTCCACAAAAGATGCCAAGCATACAATACAATGAGCATGCACAATAAAATGGAAAAAATATAAATTGCAACACAAAAAAGGAGCAACGAGGAAAATGTAAATCAAAATCAAAGTATACTACTTCATATCCCCTAGGACGGCTATAATGAAAAAGATAATAAAATGTGGTGGAGAAATGCAGAGAAATTAGAACCTCACACACTGCTGATGAGAACATAAAATTGGGACATAGACAGTTCCTCAAAAAGCTAAACATAGAGTTACCATATAACCCAGTAGTTCTGTTTCTAGATGTATACCCAACAAAACAGAATATGTACATCCATTCAAAAACTTGTATACAAATGTTCATAGCAACATTATTCATAATAACCAAAAAGTGGAAAACCTAAACGTTCAACAACTGACTAATGGATAAACAAAATACAACATATCCATAAAACTGAAAGTTAATTCAGCTATGAAAATGAACTCTGATCTATGTTACAATATGAATGAAACTTAAAGATATTTCCCGACATGAAACATGCCACACTCAAAAAGGCACGTGTTGAATGATTTCATTTCACATGAAACATCTAGGGTAGACACATTCATAAACACAAAAAGGAGATTAGTGGTTTTGGAGTGGTAGAAAAGAGAAAGAGGAACAGAGAGCAACTGCTAATGGGAATAAGGTTTCTTTTGTGGTTAATAAAAATACTCTGAAATTAATTAGTGCTGGTAGGAACAAAATCTTGTGAATATACTGAAAATTACTCAATTGTACACTTTGAAAGGTTGAATTTTATGAGTTACTGTTATGGCTCGTGTCTAGATGTCCCTACAAAGCTTCACGTGGTCATAGGTGGGGCTTTTTCAAAGGTGCTGGAGCTACAGTGTGTGAAGCTGGGACTGATTCATGGTGCAAAACTAGGCTCAAGGGCACTAGAATTAAGGGTGTGAGTGCTGCCAGCTTTAAGGAGCCTGGATAAGATAAAGGACAGAAAGATCTGTGGTCATCTCTTGCTTGCTTTGCTACCTTCTGCCTACCTTGAACTGTGTCTGCTCTGTGATGCCCGTCTGCCATGCCACTCTGCCTTTGAGGTAGCCAATTATGGACTGAAACTTCCACAAACTGTGAGCTAAATAAACCTTTCTCTTTTCAACTTTGAGTGTCAGGTATTTTGTCTCAGCAATAAGAAAAAGTAACTCAGACAGATACACCTTTAATTTTCTTAAGTGCCAGGAGCTGGGATATAGAAGTTATAAAAGACTACTGTTGGTCAGGCGTGGTGGTACATGCCTGTAATCCCAGCACTTGGAGGATTGCCTTGAGTGTGAGGCCAGCCTGGGCTATATAGTGAATTCAAGGCCAGCTATGAATTACATAGTGAGACCCTAGCTGAAAAAACAACAAAGAAAGACTATTGTTGATCCCAAGATAAGTGAGCAGAAACTTGACTGAATTTCCTAGCAGCTGAAGTGAAAAGGGAGAAGGAGCCTCCAAGAAGGGAAAGTGTCATTGCTGCTCCTCCCAGCCCTGGCAACTACCATCCTCCTTACTGGTTCAATGAATTTGTCTACTCAAGGTAGCTCACATAAGTAAAATCATATAGTA